TATAAATATGTAAATAAATATCGTATTTTCCAGCTTACAAGACCCTGCAACTTGGAAGACACAACCTAATATTGGAAAGAAATTTCTAAGGAAAAAAAAAGTCATTCTCATACAACAACACATTCACCCTACATGCCTCACATACTGGCACCACATATTGTTTACATTAATCACTTGTCCAATTTTGTTTGTATGCTAATGATATACTAGTCAAGAGCAGAAAGGCTCCCACCACTGCTAGTAAACAGAGTATGTTTAAGGTTGTGGCTCAGCTCCAGGAAGGTTTATAGTCTTGGAAATACTTGTAACAGCTAAGTACTGAGGTTAAATCATATAAAAGACTGAATTAGACAGCTAACATTATAGTGCAATGGCTTAACATACAAATCCACATCCCTATCAGTCAAGCCAATTAGGTCACCGTCCAAGCCTATTTGAGCATGGGCATTGTCTTACATTTGTCTTGGAAGACATACAAGTATTTTTCAGGGTATTTTTTTTTTAGGAAAAAAGTGCGTCTTGTAAGCTGGAAAATATGGTAATTATATTATTTACACTATTTACATGTGGATGATTGTCCTTATTTTTGTTATTGTTTTCACAATGTTTGCAGATGTTGTGCCATGCGACCTTCATCAGGTATACGTATATTGGGGTAACCTACAGGAAATTCTGAACTGAACCCTTCTCATTCCACTGCCCATATCTCATCTAGGTTTTATCTTTAATTCTACTCAGTTATTGCTCATCCTGTTTCTACAGAGTCTAAGTACACACTACCCAGCCCAGGGATCGAACTCGCAATTATTATGTTGTCAAATTCACAAACCAATGCTTTAATCCATTAGAAGATTGTCTTGTGAGAATAGTCTATCACTGTAGATTAAATAAAGAGTTCAGTTCAGAATTCCCTGTAGATTACATTGATCAATGTATACCTGATGAAGGCTGGTGGACACAACAGCTGAAACATTGTCATAACAACAACAAAGATGAGGACAATAGTTCACATGTAAATAGTGTAAATAATGATAACTCCTCAGAAATTCAGAGAGAAAAAAATATATATATAACTTGAATTTAATGTATTGGGGCAGCGGATCATTATTTAAACATAACAGACAATGAATGTCTATTATGTTTGATCATGAACCGTTCTAAAGTTTGTATGTTTGATTTAATTTTAAGTGAAAATAAAGACAAAAATTGTCCAAGAATTGGATATGTTTTTATTAAGTTGGTCCTTGATCTAAGCTTTCAACACATTACATTGCATCTAGACATATGGTTCTGTTGTTAATATTTTGGCCTCTCGTGTGGTATGATGTCATAGAACCGCATCAAGATCTTAAGACCTGCATCTGCTATTCCGTGATCATTATCATCATATAGCAATCTTCTATGTCAACATAAAAAAATATTATCTTTGATGCTGAATATCTTTGTTTAAATGTCTGTATAACCATTGTGAAGATAGCTCATATGAGCCGAAGGCTTACATCAAAGAAGAACTTAATAAAAAAATATCCAAATGTTGGACAATTTTTGTCTTTATTTTCACCTGAAATTAAAGTAAACATACAAACTTTAGAATGGCTTATGATCAGACCTAATAGACATTATCTGTTATATTTAACAATATATGAATAAGACAAATAGAAAACTTATCTTAGCCAACACATTTTGTTCTCTGAGAGACTTTACCAAGGCAAATGCAAAGATTTTATTTTGTAACAAGTATTTATATACAAGAGCCAAAATGTTATTTCGTCCTGGGTAAGACGTTAAACTACATCCACATCTTGGGTAAGATGATAAACTACGTCCAGCAGCAAGGCTTCTAATCTGGAGGTTTTGAGGAACCACCTCTTAATTGCTGGTGTTCCCAGGTCCACCCTGACCCGGGGTGGTAGCACCAGTTAGGGTCACAGCTATAAGCAAATAGTTAACTATTACCAGCAATACATTTTTGAAAAAAATATTACCAGCAATACTTTTTTGAAAAAAATTATTACCAGCAATACAATTATGAAGGAAAAATATTACCAGAAACAGATTTTTGAGAAAACAAAATATTACCAACAATAAAAAATTTTGTTAAAATAACCCATTGAGGTTGATATGCCGTAAAACAAAATAAACCAAACCAATCTAAACCAAAGAATACATATTCTATTCATACGAATTTATCCTAAAAATGTTGTCGGCATTAAACAACCCATTGAGGTTGATATGCTGTTAAACAAAATAAACCAAAACAATCTAAACCAAAGAATACATATTCTATTCATACGAATCTATCCTAAAAATGTTGTTGGCATTAAATAACCCCTTGAGGTTGATATGCCGTAAAACAAAATAAACCAAACCAAAATGTTATTGGTTTTTCAAAATTTTAAAATTCAAGAATACTCATAAATATTCATCAGGTTAGCTGAAAAGACAGGCAAAGTATGGAAGGCACGAAGTGACACAATTCAATGTCTAATAAATAAAAGTAAGTGATGTTCTTGAATTTTTTTTTAATGCAAATTAGCAATTAAATTATTTTACTTTGGGATTAATTTATGTGTTATATATTTTACATAACATGAGGTTATCAATTTAACTGTTTTCTTTTAATTTTTTAACATTTTTATAGCCATATATCGGGCAAGTGATGTGGGAGGCATGGGGGAGTAATGAATAGCAACTTGGATTGGGGAATCGGAGAGCTGAGTTCAAATTCCAGTGAAATTCATTACATTCACTTATGTGCTAATACCCTTGGGAATAGTATGAATCCTCTTCTTCTCCTCCCCCCCACCTATGGGTAAATAGTAGGACAGACTGGGTTCTATAGCCTTGGATGGCAACTGGTCTACTGCAGAAAGAAATGGAAACCTACTGCGGGAAAAATAATCTGTCTCGTCAGTCATGTATCAAAAGATACATGATTGCTTATGTGTGTATCACAAATGGCACATAACTGACTGATTGGGAAAGGAGTAATTCTTTCAGGAATGGAGATATTGGAAAAAATCTGGGATGGAGATTTATATTTTGGTAAGATTCAATAGCAGCACTCTTGAGAATTTTCCGTCTAAGTTATTTTCTCTTTTAATAAGTGTGGTATTCTTTAGATCAAAGTTGTGGTTGAAATTATTTCTATGTATAATTAGTACATTTGAAAAAATTGTTGTGTTCATATTTATATGAAATAAAACATAAAAAATTCAAATGCACTGTGAAAAAATCCCTACCTCCACTCTTGACCTCTCTTGCTGTCTGTTTCCTGTTTGTATACTTCAAACAAGTGCACTAAAATGCTGGGCCATCAGTTCGGAATGTCTAGATGATACTAATCCATCGTTTGTTTTTCCTAATCCCAGTATCAGTTCAACAATCAAAGATTTCCCGCTTTTTTTTTCATTTTTTTTTTTTTGACAACAAATGATTGTGAGGAGAAACTAAAAATAACCAAACGCCATGACCGCTTGTCACAGCTGAACTTGTTCTCCGATACAATATTTACTGAAATTATCCGTAAATGGATGGCTGCCATTTGGTTCGTATTTTGGCAAAGAGAGGTCAACTGGTTCACATTTAAACTTCAAGTGTACAGGAAGCAATTTCCAATTTTATTTTATTGGTGAAATAAAATAAAATTTTTAACTTTTATTCAAATTCTATTCAGTATTAAAGATATTTATTTTGCATATTCATAGATGAAAAATACAAGATTTTTTTTTGATGAGGGTAAAAATTTTGCATATTTATTTTTATTAAATGGCATGTCCGTTGAGGATATAGGTGATCATGTCTCTTGACAGATCTCTTTTTTTCAAATTTGTCAAGAGATTTGTCACAGATCTGTGAATTGCCATAACTTTTTGGTAAAGACAATGAAGTGGTTTCCCTTTGCCTTTTCCATGGTTTTGAATTCATAGTAGTCATCTATGCCATGTCCCTTCAGGATGTAGGTGATCATGGCTCTCCACAGATTCCTTTTTCTTTATTATCTGAGAATTGCCATGACTTCTTGGGAAAGATAGTGAAGTGCTTTCCTTTTGCCTTCTCCATGGTTTTGAATTCATAGTAGTCATCTATGCAATGTCCCTTCAGGATGTAGGTGATCATGGCTCTCCACAGATTCCTTTTTTCTTTATTATCTGTGAATTGTAAAGATTTCTTGGGAAAGATAGTTCAGTGGTTACCAAGTGTCTTCATAGTTTTTTGATTCCTTTTATTATCTGTGAATTGCTTTAGCTTCTTGGAAAAGACAGTGAAGTGGTTTCCTGTTGACAGTTTGGAATTGAGAGCTGTCCTTCTTCTAGACTGGTTGCAATTCAAGGTGAGAGAGTTAAGTCTACTTTACTATATAATCCATAGATCAAGAAAGAGGATGTGTATTCATGCCTTTCCCAAGAGAAGTTGTGTGGAAGTTCATACAACAGACTAGTTTAAAATTTGAAATCTTTCCATTATCTATTATCTCAATCCATGCTAGATAAAGGACCGAGATAGATAAAAAGTGGTTGAGATAAAATAAATAAAGAGGCTGAGAAAGATAGATAGGTTGGTTTGTTTTGGGTTATTTAATGCTGACAAGATTTTTATTGCTGGTAATAATTTTTTTTTAAAATGTACAGCTGGTAATTATTTTTTTCAAAAATATATTATTGGTAATAATGTATTGCTGTTAATAATTTTTCTTCAAAAAAATTATTGCTGGTAATAATTTTTTACAAAGTATTTCTGGTATTAAAACCTATTTTTACACTTTCACAGTGCTTTGATCCCAGTTTGGGGGTCAACTATTTACTAATAGCTGTGCTAACAAGTGCTACCACCCTGGGTCAGGGTGGACCTGGAAACACCAGCAATTAAGACGTGGTTCCATGCTCCTCAAAATCACCTGATCAGAGGCCTTGCTGTTGGATGTAGTTTATCACCATACCCAGGATAAGAAAGATAGATAATGAACACGCCAATATTGGCTGATATAGATAGACAATGAGCTAACTGAGATAGATAATGAACAGGCTTAGATAGATAAATAATGAAGAGACTGAGATAGATAGATAGATAATAAATAGGCTGAAATAGAGACGTAATGAACAGGTTGAGATACATAGATAATGAACGGGCTGAGATAGATAGATATATAATGAAGAGACTGAGATAGATAGATAATAGGCTGAAATAGATACATAACCAACAGATTGAGATACATAGATAATGAAGAGGCTGAGATTGATGGGTAAATGAACAGGATAGATAGATATATAATGAACGGGCTGAGATAGATAGATATATAATGAACAGGATAGATAGATATATAATGAACAGGATAGATAGATATATAATGAACGGGCTGAGATAGATAGATATATAATGAACAGGATAGATAGATATATAATGAACGGGCTGAGATAGATAGATATATAATGAAGAGGGTGAGATAGATATATAATGAACAGGATAGATAGATATATAATGAACGGGCTGAGATAGATATATAATGAACAGGATAGATAGATATATAATGAACAGGATAGATAGATATATAATGAAGAGGGTGAGATAGATAGATATATAATGAACAGGATAGATAGATATATAATGAACGGGCTGAGATAGATAGATATATAATGAACGGGCTGAGATAGATAGATATATAATGAACAGGATAGATAGATATATAATGAACAGGATAGATAGATATATAATGAACGGGCTGAGATAGATAGATATATAATGAACAGGATAGATAGATATATAATGAAGAGGGTGAGATAGATAGATATCATAGATGTCATTGTTGTACCTTGAGAGAACTCTATAAACTATAATGAATGGCAAAGATAGTGACCAGCCTTTGTAGGTGACTCATACCTCATTCATTATTAAACTTGCCAAACCGGATTGACTGGCTTGACAAAGCTTCTCTGTATAACTTAACACATTGTCTTCAATAAATTGTTTTGAGAGAATTTCCAAGAGTTGTTCAGATTATTGATTTCATTCTTTTTGTTTATATTGGTTCCACAACATTTCGGTCAATTGATTTCTCGGACTTAGTCATGTGAACACCACATATTTTAAAGAGATGTGGGTGGGATCTTTCTCATTCACCCCGCAGGCAGTGTTAACAATCCTCTCTTTTTATCCTTGGAAAGAATAAAACAGAAATAAAAGATGGTGATGTTGATCAGTGGGCCTGAGAAAATTTAAAAAACGGGGGCCTGGAGGTGCAGGTTGAAAAAGAGGGAGACATGCAACTGAAATTGAACCAAAGCTTGGAAGTTTCACATGAAAAGCTGATAGATAGACGCTGAGAGCAAGTGTAGTTATTAGTCAGGGTTTATATTTAGTGTATATTTTGTTAAATTGAACAGGGATCTTGAAGTGTAACAGACAATCGGGTCAGCCTGATAAAAGACTCTAAGTTGCCTGTATGTGGCACTGTAAGCACCAAGAGTTGTGTCCCCTTCCACAATGGAAGGAGAGAGAAGACCTGCTACTACTAATTAACAGATTATTTTAATTTTTATAAAAAAATTAAGCAAAATTATGAAAGTAATATTTTTTACTCTTTTATTTACATAATTTTAAAAATTAAAAAATATAAATTTAAAATAAATATAAATAAATATAAATTTAAAATAAATATAAATAAAATGATTATAATTATAATCATTTTATTTATATTTATTTTAAAATTAAAAAACTTGAAAAAAGTTAAGTTTTCCTGATGGCGAGTTGTCCCGTTGTTAGGTTGTCCTGGTGCCTATATTTTTGGCCCTTTTTTCATTAATCATGAGTACCAAAATGAAATATAGAGAGTATGTCGAGGTGGCGCTGATTATTTGCATATGGACGGTACCAGGCAGGTATTAGCCAATAGTCAGTGTGGGGTCTGGAACTGGGAGAGCTATATAACACCAGTTTTTTCTCAGTCGATAGAGGTGCTCTCGTGTGGATGTGTGAAAACCATACAAGAAAAACACAGGAAGGATAGTAAGGAGATAAACATTACTTATAACTAAAATGGATAGGAAATTGTGGAGAGCTATGATCATCCACATCCTGGAGGGACATAGCACATAATTATTTTCCATCCAGTTGTACCTAGAAGATGGTTAAAGAATAAACTGGCCAAATTGTAGGGGTAACAACAGAAGAATGAATACATTTGTCTGAACATCTCCAAATTGTTTTTCCTTATACAAGCTTGTTAGGTTACTTGTTGTTTTCCTCTGTCCTTCTTGCCTCCAGCATGTGTCCTGTGAGTGTCATATACTCTGAGTCCTCTTTCCTTATTATATGTCCATGAAATTTCAACACTTTCTCATTCTAATTGTAAGTGTTCTTTTTGTTTCCATTTTCTTTAAAACTTCCTCTTTGATCACATGTCCTGTCTATGGTATGCTCAGGATTCTTCTTCAGAACCAGTTCTCACCTGTCTCAAGTCTCCTCTTCATGTGTGAGAAAATTGCTCAGCATTCACTGCTATATAGAGGACTGACATCACATAGCAGTTCAGCACTTTTTTCTTTGTTTCTAATGAAACTTTCCTTCTTTTTTTTTTCATGCTTTGCTTAGCTTTTGGAAGGCATCTTTCGCTATCCCGATGTGCATTTGGATTTCAGTGTCACACTTTCTGTTCTCTGTTAAAACACTTCCCAGATATTTAAATTGTGGTACTAAATTGTAGTTTGCATGTTGGGCTCTTCCTTCTGCTGACAACCATGCATGCCATCTTTTTGCATATATAAAGAAATAAAAAAAAAAAAAAGCTGAAGTTGTGCCCAAATCTGGTTTTGAATTCAGAATAATTACAGAGACAAATAAGTTCTTCAGTTAGAAATACTAGTTTTCATTTCATGCTAGTTTAGGAAAATATATTAGTTAGTATATGTTTATCTTGTGCAATAAAGGTTGTGCAATGTGTGGTTAAAATTCAGTCCTTTGATTTTGAAACTGGAATGGCCTCTCCAGAGTGCATGTTATAGGAAAGCCATGCGCTGCCTACATTATACACTTGCCCCCTCCCAGCCATACCAACAAGATTCAAAGGAATTACAGGGTATTATATTTGGGAACAACTTGGCTGCAGGAGTTGCTGGAAAGTTGTCAGTGTTGACGGATAACCGCCTTCAGGGCTTTGATCCAGGTTTTCTGTCTGGATTTACTTCCATAGCCTTGGATATGAATACAAAGCAGTGGAGGTTTAAAATCAGGGTTTTCCTTCCCTAGATCAGGCATTCACAAGGGGATCAATATCGCCCCCAGAGGCCAATTGTTTCTCTAAGGGGTGGGGGCAGTAAGTTTTCACAAACCAGTTCTATCCTTTCATAGTTTGTGGAAACATCTGTAAATAAGAATTACAAGTTTATATTTTAATAAACATTTCTAAATTCATGCTTTCTCATCTATTTATGAAATTAAGTCTTTAATTGTTTAAGGATGAAATAGATTATTTTTAATGATAGCTCATCATACAGCATTTAGCAGAAATACTTTTTTCACAAAACAGTTACACATCTCTAAATGTTTCAATTATTTTGAAACATTTCGTTCACTGACTTACACATTGCACTGCAACAGTAATTGTGAGAAGTGGATGATGCCTGATTTTTATGTTGAATAGTCAAAGTGGTAATATTAATAATTAGATCAAGTGTTAGTGACAATAACTTTGAGTTGAAAATATTGTTTTTGTGTTATATTTTTCAAAAGGGTACAACTTGGCACTGGGTCAACTCACCACCAGAACAACTTTAATTTTTTGAATTTTAAAATTTGTATTGGGGGTTTTAACATGATTAAATGATTAAATTAACAAATTATTTTAATTTGTATAAAAAAATTAAGCAAAATTATGAAAGTAGTATTTTTACTCTTTTTTATTTACATAATTTTAAAAATTAAAAAAATAATTATAATCATTTTATTTATATTTATTTTAAAATTAAAAAAAAACTTGAAAAAAATTAACTTTTTTTGATGGTGAGTTGTCCCGTTGCTAGGTTGTCCTGGTGCCTATATTTTTAGCCCTTTTTCATTAATCATGAGTACCAAAAATATAGAGAGTATATTGAGGAGTATTTGGCTTATGGCTTTGTCAAAAGCCCGTTTGATCAAAGACAATCTATGTGCCTTATTTGCAGCAGCTCATTTTATAATGAAGCGATGAAACCGTCAAGGTTTTTTAGAACATTTAAAAAGAAAACATTCTGACAAAGTGAACAAACCCATTACTTATTTTGAAAATTTAAAGAAAAACTTTAAGCAATGAAATACTTACCTTATTTGAAAAACAAACAACAGAAACAAATGAAAGTGGTTTGATTGCATCTTATGAGATAGTGCAAGTAATAGTAAAAAATTGAAAGTGCACATACAGTTGCTGAAAATGTTATTAAGCCTTCTTTTGAAATTCTCATGAAAACTGTGTTGCAGCAAGATTTGGCAAATGTCTTAAAAGCATTGCCACTGAGCAATGATTCAATCCAGAGAAGAATTGATGAATTGTCAGCAGATGTAGAAAGCCAACCAGTTGAAAAATTAAAAAGCACTAAATTCTTAATTCGGATTGATGAATCTATGGTTAGCAATAATAGGGCTATTCTTATGGCATATGTTCATTATCTAGACAATTACAACAAACTGTGTGAAGAGGTGTTGTTTGTGAAACTTCTTAGTTTGAGAAAAATCAGGTACCCTTTGAAAACTTGGTATCTTGCACAGCTGATGGTGCTCCATCCATGTTTGGTATGCATTAAAGATTTATTGTGCATTTAAATATTATATGTCCTTCTATTCTTGTTGTGCATTGCATGGCGCATTGTCATCATTCAGTTGCCAAAAATATTGGCCCTGATCTTCATGAGACATTGACAGTACATTATTTACCCTTCAATATCTGTCTATATTTCTGAGATGAGGTATTATGTACATTATTTACCACATCTCAGAAATATAGACAGATACTGAAGGATCGGATAAATATGGCAACAAAGATGAGGACAATAGTCCAAATAATGTAAATAGTGTACATAATACCTCATCTCAGAAATATAGACACATTGACAGTAGTTATTAAAACAGTCAATAAAATAAAATCTCGCAAGCAAATATGACAGACTTTTTCGAAAGTTTTGTATTGTTATCAAAGAACAGCATATAAGACTTATCCATATGGAAGTCTGTTGGCTTTCAAAAGGAAAGTGCCTGGCCTGATTTGTAAACCTGTTTCGTACAATAGTTAAGTTCTTGGAAAATATGGATGAGAAAAATTTTGCAGTGGAAATCAGGCATCACAAATGTGACATTTACATTTTAGCATGGATTTTTTGAAAGTTCAATGAAATTTCACTCCAGATTCAAGCTAAATTATGCCTGTTGCTAGATTGCAAATGTGTTCTAAAAGCCTTTTCTTAAAAATTAGACTTATTGTGTTAATATACAGAAAAACAAAATCCCTTGAGAGGAAACTGATTCCTTGTGAGATGAAATGCCTGAGGAAAACATAGAACAAGACCAGGCGAGACAAGATCAGGAATGAAGCAATAAGAGATATGGTAAGAGCAATACCAATCATACAACACATTGAATGACAGAGGATCAAGTGGTTCATATATCTCACTCGTATGCCTATCAACCAACCAGCCCTACAAGCATACACCCTTCAGGTACTCTGGGTGGAGAGCGAGAGGCAGACCAAGAAGATGCTGGATCAACTCAGTGGCAGACACTCTCAGAGCCCATGAGATATCTCTCCTCCAGGCCACTTGCCTTGCTGCTGACAGACGACGATGTCTCCCTGTGATGCCT